TTGAATTTTTCACTATTTTTATATCTGGGCCTTGTAAAGCTGATTATATACAGTATGGGTTTTTCTCATTGTTGAAGGCTGTAAGGTTGCCTATAATTGCTTACATCCACTTCATTTGAATTTTGGTGGTTAGTTGTCTCATTGGCAATCATACCACATCTCCTTATTTTTATATGAATTTGAAATCTGAGTAATCTGAACTCTTGTATCATCTAGGACATACAGGAGCCTCTGGCCTTTGTTAGTCTTGTATGTTTTTTTAATTTTAGTTCATTTATATGTTTTGGAGTTTAGTGTGAGTCTGTGTGATGTCCATTTTCACTGAACTAGTACACAATTTTATTTAGGGTCCGGCTGAGGACCACCTCCGGGGGTGGGATTTTCTCGCTGCGTTGAAGACCCATTGGTGGCCTTCGGTTGTTGTCTGCTCTTTGGTCGGGTTGTTGTCTCTTTGACATATTCCCCATTTCCATTCTCAATTTTATTACATCCCAGTTTTTGTTGCTCAGTCTTAAGTTTTCTATGTTGAGTTTTGTAGAATTTTGTTTTTGCTTTCATTGTTTTTTGTTCTTTCGTTGCCATGATGTTGTCAGTTTGTCTTCCACCTTTATGAGTATCAATATCCCTTTGGCATCTTCTGCCTATCTTTTACAGTGATTATTCCTGAGTAATTTAACCTGTGTAAACTGAACAGCTAGCTCATCTTACAGCACCAAGGGGTTTTGAGAGGTTCCTGTTGGTTATTTTAAAATTTGAGGTCCAAACAAGAAGATTTTAAACACAGTCCCTGAAATATGAAATAAAACATTCAAGCACTGATAAAACACAAGTGGGAATGCATATCAATTTATTTCCTGAAAGACTGCTAAACTAAAGGGGCTTCAAATTTTGACATGTGAAATGGGTGCTGCTCTGACTGTAATAACTATCTAACATTTAGTTTAGATGGTTTTTTTTTATGTAAACAAACAAACAGATATTTTATTTGCCAGCCACATGCAGCGCCCAAAATAAGCAGAATAATTACAATATAATTTCAAACATAATATAAAAGTAAATTAAAAATAGGTTAAACAAAGTACATAACATGATTAATTTTGATTTAATTGATTAATATATATATATATATACATGCAAAAACTATATGCAATTTGCCGCTAACAGAAACTGAAACTTCTGAAGGATTTCAAGGATTTCCGATATCGTTATATAGACTTTGTAAGTTTGTACAATACTAGAGAGGAAATATGAATTTTAAATTGTGAGCTGCTTGATTTTAAAGTTGTTTCAGGTATTAACATCGGGTTTAACATGCACATAATAAACAGGAAAATGTATTTGTAATTTTTAATTTTTCAATCTGAAACATACACAAATTTGAAGTTTTTCTTATATGTGAAAATAATCTTATTTCCTTATCAAGTTTGAAGATGATTTTAACATATATATAGAAATGTGTTATGTTATATGTCCTGTTAGAAAGACAATGAAACAGGCAGTTTTATGGGTTATTTTCTAAAAATATGGAAGAAAGAAATGAAACCTATCAAAACACACTACAATGACTGAGATAGGTGTTTTCATGTCTATTTCCCAGCATTATCATTATTGTGTGTTAACCTATGTCTTTTTATTGTCATTATATGAGACATGTCCTTTTTGGGCAATTGATTGGTTTAATGAAGTATTCATACTCATATTCATATCAAGACCACTTGCAAATTAAAATGTAAAATAACAAAAATACCAAATTCTAAGGAAAATTCAAAACTGAAAGTCCTTTATCAAATGGCAAAATCAAAAGCTCAAACACATCAAACGAATGGAAAACAACTGTCATATTCCTGACTTGGTACAGGCATCTCCTTATATAGAAAATGGTGGATTAAACCTGGTTTTATAGCTAGCTGAACATCTCACTTGTATGACAGTCACATAACATTTCATTATATTGACAACAATGTGTGAGCAAAACCAGCAGACATAATAATAAAAATTGGGGTACAGCAGTCAACGAAAACAAATATAAAATACAAAAAAATTATTCATTTTTAAAAGTTTTAGGCAAGGCAGTACAATCAGGAGTAATAACTGAATCTGTGGTGACATGAACAACATTGTACTTTGTTATAACTTTAAGACTGAAAATAAATAACTAGCATTGAAACTAAATCTTAGGTCAATTGTATTTTAGGAAATGTGTATATAACTTCCCTATTAATCATGACTTGTATAAAAATGTTGCTTTGTCGCATGACTACTTACAGCATCCTGTTAACAGCTCACGGTATAGAGCTTTTTGTTCATTCAGTTAGTCACAGTAAACTGAATAGAAGGATGTTTATTCAAAAACAGTGACAGTCACTTCAGAAAAATTTTCTGAAAGTTGTTTGTTTAAAGGGACATTAGCTACAAGATATGAACAAAAATAAAATGAAATAGTGAAATAATATTTCACTTTTAGCAGCCAGTTTGGTTCAATTTTGTCAAAATAAGCTAAGAAACATTTCTTTTGATTGTGAGTTATTCACTTGCAAGTGAATAATTCGACCTCATTGAATCAGGCGTATTCATGTGACCTTCAATTTAATCACTTAGCTAGAGATACGCATAAACTAGGTGTGTTCAGCTATTAAAAGGAAAATAATGTCAACATTGAAGGTGAAACAAGGGTAAACCATTTGGTTGACTGAATAGATCCACAAAAACTCTTCCTTATACAGGTAACAACGATGATTAACATATTTTTCAAACTTATAACATGAAATCAAACAGACCTATCTATTTAGTATGGCATAATTTGTGTGGTCAAAATATATTGCAGAATAAACATTTGTAAATTAAGCTTACAAAAAGTTTCTTGATTTACACCAAAGATTTATAAACAATCCCCATCATTTTATTATCTTATAGTCATTGAAAAAGTAAGTGATACCCAAGGTGTCACTGTGTGGTGATGGAAAAAGGGGCGGGAGATAAAACCATAATTTATGGCTACTGTAAATTCAGAAATTATTGCGATGTTTTTATTATTGCGAAAAATGCGACAGGGTTATAATCGCAATAATTTAAACTCGCATTTTGAAATTTTTTATGTGAATTAAACAGGAATTTTCTCAATATCGCAAAAATTAAAATCGCATTTTAGTCTAAAATGACAAAATCGCAATAATAAATGCACGCAATAATTTCTGAATTTACAGTATATGGGTTTTACAGTAAAGTGGAGATAGTTGTGTACCTTTGTTTGATGATGCAATTTGTCATGTGATGTAAATGGTCTCCAGAGGCGGGCCCCCATTTTGTGGGAAAAATTTGGTTGATTATTTAGCTAATAACTGAAGCATGACTGGAGCGGTAGTCAGTGGGCCCCCCTTATGAAAATTTCTGGATCCGCCACTGGTCTCTATCTGAACAAATGTGCAATAGATACATACCAAGTTTCATCACTATTAAGCAATACAAGTATGATTTTCTCGCTGTGTTGAAGACCCATTGATGGCCTTGGGCTGTTTTCTGCTCTTTGGTCAGAACTTGTCTGTTTGACACATTTCCCGTTTCCATTCTCAATCTTATAACAAACTGTTTGCCAAAATATCTCATTTTAAAATGTATAGACTTACAAAATTGTTTCTGTTCTCTAACTTTAGTTTGCCTCAACCAAATGTTATGAAACTTATACACAATGCTTATTACCACAAAATACAGATCAAATTCGAAATTAGGTGGCGTCACTTTTACCGTTCATGAGTTATGCCCTTTTATAAACATAAAAATTGCTGAATTTTTCGTTTCCGTTTTCTAACTTTAGTTTGCCTCAACCAAATGTTATGAAACTTATACACAATGCTTATTACCACAAAACACAGATCAAGTTTGAAATTGGGTGGCGTCATGCACTCTAACTGTTCTTGAGTTATGCCCCTTTATAAATGGAAAAATTGCTATATCTGTCGTTTCCGTTCTCTAACTTTAGTTTGCCTCAACCAAATGTTATAAAACTTATACACAATTCTTATTACCACAAAACACAGATCAATATCTTATGTCCCTTCCTTAAACATTATATGCAATCGAGGGCATCATCTGTATCCAATGGACACATTCTCCATTTATTTTTTTTTATTTTTTTTGAGGGGGGGGGGGGGCTGTTTTACAACTCACAATTGTGATACACTCACTCTTAAAGTGGTATCAGTCTGCCCTTAATCCAAAAAATATTTTTGTCACACTTTTCTTAAGAACTCTTAGGGAGCTACCATTTGATTTTTTAATAATAATGGGGGGCTAGGATGAAATTTGAAAAAAAAGGCAGGACAGGAGTTTTGAGTAAAAAAAATAAGGCAGGATGAGCAATTTGGCAAAAAAAAAAAAGGCAGGATGACAATTTATGTAAAAAAAGTGAGGATAAACTAATAAAAAAAAAGGCAGGACCGAACAGAGTGAAAAATAAAAAGGCAGTACAGAGATTACAACTAAAATAAAATGCAGGAAAAAATTTTTCATGTGTTTTTCATCCTAGACCCCCATAAAAATCAAATGGTAGCTCCCTTAAATAGAATGACTTCATATTTGGTCAGCAGCTTGACAATGATGAGTTGTACACGAGTGAGCACGTTTTGGATCTGTCAGTGTCCGATACTTTCTTCGTGTTAGCTGCTTACAGTGATGAGTTGTACACATGTGAGCACTTTTTGGATCTGTCAGTGTCAGATACTATCTTCCTGTTTGCTGCTTACTTTGAATTTTCCAATATTTTAAATAAAGTAAAAAATTTGTTCACATTTTTCTTAGAAACTACTCCACAAAATGAATTCTTATTTGGTCAGAAACTCAATAGTGATGACTTTTAATGTGTGTGTGCTTTTCAAATCTGTCACACACATAATTCCTGTTTTCCTTTACCTTGAATTATGAGATAGATGTTTAATGCTTAGCTGGACAACATGTATTCTTGTTTAATTTTTAATCGTGCAACTTTTTATTTTTTGTATTTTCAGGTGGAAAAAATAAAAAGAGAAAACCAACTATGGACAAATGATAGTTTATTTTTACGAGAGCATTTATTAATACCAGTACTAAATGAGGATGTCTCATCTATACCGGAACGTTATGAAACGGTTGTGATAGACCCAGTGTCTCGGACAAGATCGTCTAGTCAAAAATCAAACACAAGTGCTAAAAGTGACGAAAGTGATAAAAATGTGCCAAAAGTTTCATCTTCATCCTCATCTTCAAAGGCTGCAGCAAATGGCGAATCGGGAATGGACTTTTTATCAAAATATGACACGTCTATAGCACAATTAAAATCTAATGTCAACCAGATGGAAAAAAATGCAAGGTAATAAAAGTTGATACTCTCAAAGGAAGCATTGTTATTGGTGTGTAAGAAACCATGTCTATAAACACATTAGGAAATACACGACCCATACTTAATCCTTGATATGTCTTGTGTGTATCATGCCAAATTTTTTGACCACATATTAAGAAAATAAAAGTTATTTGGCAGAATTGAAACTTGTATACACAAAAAAGAGATTCAGAAAAAAATCTTATCATGTTTAAACAGTCAAAATCGACCAGTTATTTAAAGACTTAATGTATGTTTCACACTTCACCAAGCAGTAAATGCATTTAGGGCATGTACAAATATTTATGTGCATCATGCATGTTTTTGTATTTTTTTAAGTATTGCTACACTTATTGTAAGGTATTTAAAATATCCAACAGTACAATTTTTTATCCTCATTATATCTTCTTCATTATTCATAATTTTACTCAAACTCAAGGAATGGGGCCACTTAATTAGCGACAATAAGGCCAACAATAAAATTAGAATTATTCGATGATGCCTACCTACCCACCTAAAAAGCGGCCTACCTGAAATATTTTATGACAGATCGTTTCAAATTTTTTTTTTATAAAGATATTTTCCTGCACTTACGTCGTTTTCTTGTCTATAACATGTAACTTATGTTGTTAGCCAAAAAAAAAATAAGATCCCTTTCTATGGTACCTACCCTACAAGGCATGGGTAGTCAACATCAAACAAAGAATTTTTTAAGGGTGGCCTAAGGTGAGATTCATTATCATTTGTACATTGACTAGAATATGATGCAGGTCTTAACCAGGGCCAAGATCTAATTCTGATGGCAAATATTAGGCTCCAGTAGGGTACCAGCCTTAAGTCACAAGGTCACTTTTAAAATTACCTCAGGTCACCAGGTATTAGGTTGTAAGTTCACCTGCCGAATTCCAGAGTTTGCAAATCGAATTTAACCATGTTGGAGCCGCATATTTTATGATTTAATGGAGGAATGAACTATTTCAGAAATAACTTGCATATATACAACCAAATATGATAAATAAAATGTATAACCATGTGTAGCTGTGAATGAAACCCATAGAGGTCCATGTTTTGAATTTTGCATGCTTTGCCATTTCATATACACTATAGCTCACACAGATTATGTAATTTTCATCCTTCAACAGACTTCTAGAAAGTCCACTGTGCCTGCATGTATTTATTATATGCCCTATAGATTGGACATATGCCGTTTATTTTCTTTTATCATAAGAATAGTACATTTGCCAAGTACCAGTTTGATTCTGTTTTAACACACTTTTAACACAGATTATTTCCCCATTGCCAATTGCAGACTCTTTTTTACAGGATAAAATGTGCTGCTGCCCGTGCAAAGCATTATTAGTTGAAAGTGATGTTAAGGCATTTCAACCATTTTTTCATTTATAAAAGAAAATAAGTTGATATCAACAGTTTTTAGCTTGACAAAAGATTAAATGGAATGAAAAGATTTGAAAAACTTAAGTTTTTAAACAATTCATACCTGTAGATAAATTTGGTATTTCTGCTTAATATTCATTATCAACTTAAGTTTATGTCGGTTCTAAGGGAAGCAACTCAAAAAAGAGATATTTAATTACCGGGTCAATAATAGACTTCATATTGGAAAATAAGTTTAACTTTTCAGGAGGCAAAAGTGGGCCACCCACGATGGGCACGTAGAAATGATAAAATCCAAGCAAGCTATAGTGTATATGTTCCCACCCATATGTCTAATTTGCTCATATGTCATATTTTTCAGTTCTGCATCTAACAAAAATATTCCCGATTCTGACGCTCATCAAATAACCTCCCCTTATAGTTTAATGCTCCCAGACAGCGAATGTTAATATTGGGTGTGGTTTAGTTTTATTTAAAAGGTAAATAGATACTTTGTTTTACACACTTAGTTCAAATATCTCATGGAAATTGTTAATATCTTGTCTTTTAGCTCTAATTTATCTTTTTTTTATAAAAAAATTTATAAATGATATACAATGTACCATTGTAAAGTAACTATATACATATAAAATGTATTGAATCATTGATTGAAAAAACATATGCATGTAAAAGACAATGGTTATTTCTTTGTTATACGCCCGTTTATGGGACGTATTATGGTATACCGCTGACCGTCTGTCTGTCTGTCTGTCCGTCCCTCGTCAACATGTCGGACATTAATTCAAAAATGCTTTAACCAATATGCATGAAACTTTGGTGAATTGTTTATATCTATTAATGTGAGCTCCCTTTCGTTTTTTTATAAATTTCAGATTTACCATTTTCGAGTATTGGGGTTTGATTCATTAAAAAAGGGGGGATTTTCCAGTTTTTGGACAAAACTCAAAAACAATTTCACCAATTTGCATGAAACTTTTGTGAATTGTTCATATCTATTGATGTGAGCTCCCTTTCGTTTTATATAAATTTCTGATTTACCGTTTCCAAGTTTTGGGGTTTTATTCATTAAAAAAGGAGGGATTTTCCAGTTTTCGGACAATAACTCAAAAAAAATTTCACCAATTTGCATGAAACTTTTGTGAATTGTTCATATCTATTTACGTGAGCCTCCTTTTGTTTTTTATAAATTTTGGATTTACCGTTTCTGAGTTTTTGGGTTTTATTCATTAAAAAAAGGGGGATTTTCCAGTTTTCATACAATAACTCAAAAACAATTTCACCAATTTGCAAGAAACTTTGGTGAATTGTTTATTTCTATCGACATGAGCTCCCTTTTGATTTTTATAAATTTCAGGATATATATTTATGGGGTTTTATTCATTACAAAAAGGGGAGTTTTCCAGTTTTCGGACAATAACTCAAAAATGCTTTCAGCATTTTTTATGAGACTTTGGTAAATTGTTTATATCTATTTTTGCAAGCTCCCTTTTGATTTTTATAAATTTTCGATTTTACATTTCAGAGTTATAAGATTTTATTTGTTTATAGTCGTGACAACAGATTTACTAAGTATTGCGCAACAGCACAGTGTATTGCACAACAGCAAGAAATCTTTCATATAACCATTTTCAAGTTCTTTGACTACATTTATTCAGAAACCTATAATATATCAAATATTTAATTACAATCCAAATTCAGACCTGTTTCAAGCTTGAATATTGTGTCCATTTTTGCCCCAACTGTTCAGGGTTGGACCTCTGCGGGCGTATTCAGCTGCGCTCAGCGAAGCAGTTTATTTTTTGAATTACATGTAATGGAAATAAAAAATTATAATGATTACATAACACTACATCTCAAGTTCATGAAGTTGAACATGGGCCGTGATTTGGACTCTTCTGTTCACTTACTGTCAAATTCCATTTCAGATTTTAAGAATATATTTAATACAAAAATGTAAAAAGTAAATAATTTTTCCATGGCACTTATATGTGGAAATCTTTAGGTGAAAGAAAAATATAAGATGAAAAAATAAGAAGATATGGTAATTGCCAATGAGACAACTCTCTACTAGAGACCAATTGACATATAAGGTAACAATTATAGGTCACAGTATGGCCTTCAACAATGATCAAAACCCATACCGCATAGAAAGCTATATAATGCCCCAAAATGACAAATTTAAAGCAATTCAAACAAGAAAATGATATGTACAAAACAATTAACAAAAAATAAATATGATAAACAGCTACAAGCGACAACCACTGAATAACAAGCTTCTGAATTGGAACAAGTAGGTTACAGCATGTGCACTTCATACAGTGGGTACAGGGAACATCTAGAAGATTTCCACCCTCTATACCCATTCCCTCCATAGAGGGATAGAAGTTACAAAATCCATCTGAACTGTAGTGTATATGGAATGTACGTTTGAACTTTAGTAATTTTAATAATTAAATGTGAACTAAATATGGGTAAGGGAGATAACTCTAAGACATAATTTCAATGTTTTGCACAGAATAGATAATATTTCCATGGGATATTTGAACTATGTATAAATATATGCATGTTGTGCAGGAAAAAAGGAAGGAATTGTTTTCAGAAGTTTAATGTCTCAGTATTTATGCTTTAATTTATTAATTTAGACAAATGTTTGAAAATTTAACTTAGAATCATTAATGACTGTTTATATCTGTTATTCACAATCAGAATAAAGTGAAAGGAAAATTTATTGGAAATTTAATAGTTTCATTTCTTCTTTTTGGAATTGTCAATTTTCCTAGTTTCTAAAATCTTGTTTAAATCGGGATAAAATTTTAAATTATATATATTTATTCAATATTCATACCATGCAAAGTGTACACTAATTAAATTTGACAAAAAACATTGTAAAATAACTAAAATGCAGGAGTAACCAGAAGTTATTCAAGAAATTTATTTCATTACCAAAGGGAGATAATGTATACAGTAGAAGACAATTCCTTCTTGACTTGGCTGGGCTACAAGGGGAGGTAATCTTGTTTCTTCTCTATGATGGGAGATGCATGTTCTTTATATGTATGTTAAGTTTGCTTGCTTTTGTATAAACAGTTCACTTTCAGTATTTGGAGATTGGAAGAACTTTTTATTTTACTTTCTGCAATTTTTTCAAATAGTGATAATTTTTCAGGATATGTGCAATGAAGTTTTACTTGGAATCATTAAATTCTTTTTTTTTTTTATCCCATGTATTGGTTGTAAAGGAAGCTAATTTCAGGGTAAATCATCTATCCCCATAATAATAAACAAAGTCAACTGGGAATTTTATATGTATCTGGCATTATTTGATCAGTGGTTGGAAAAAGCAAGCAAAAGGCTATTGATGTATTTATTAAGAAAAAGGGGGATTTTTTCCAAAATATATTTAAGAACATTTGGTCAAAAGTAAAAGAGAAATTCTTTGAAAATGACTGATTGACCAAAATATCTTTCCAATCACTAAACATGCTAAACATGTGTTAACCTGCGCTCAGATTTGATTCATGATACATTTTTATCACTGTGTACATGTATAGAAATATAACCAAAGGTTTTATGTGAAAAGTGAGAATCTGTGCAGT